TAAAATTGCTATTTAAAATGTTCACCTTATTAGAGTTAACCCACAAGGGCCTATATATTCATTGATATTCCTACATTGGCAATATAGCAATCATTGGGAGTTATTGAGTGGATTCATTTAGCCTACTCTTCTAAAAGGTCATTAACTCCTTTTTATGATTTTGTTCCTCAATTAGTTATCAAGGGAAGAATTTTATAGCTGGTTGGATCAGAACTTAATATTATAATCATTCCATTTTCTGCTCAACAGAATGATTGGCTTTTCCAAATTTATAATAATTGGAAAGTAGCTTTTTCTATTTTTCTTGTTCAGATAGAAAGTCATTATCCTTGTGATAAAATTATTTAATTTGCCTTGGTAACTGTTGGGAGTTGCCCTTGTAACAAAGACTAATTTTCCCATCCCCTGAGAAGAGCCATCCAATGGTGAGCCCTGCTGGCTCACATGATCTTTACCCACCAATCAGACTAGCCCTGCTGGCTCACATGATCCTTACCCACCAATCAAAATTTCCCCATCGCCATCCAATGGTGAGTCCTGCTGACTCACATGATCCTTACCCACCAATCAGAAAGCACCCCATGCCAGCTGCCAAAACCATTAAACTGTTAAGCCATTTCAACCGTCAGACCATCCCTGGCTCTATAAATATGCAGAGCTGTTCCTCAATAAAAGAGCATTTTCTTCCACAATGAGCCTTGTTCATTCTTTTGGTAACTACACTTATTTTTCTAAAGATTTTTGCATGCACAGCCAATAAATGGAGCACTAATGGTATTCACTGATGGCTCAAGCTCAAGGAAAGCAAGTTTTATAGTCATGCTCATACAGAGGTGATACAAACCTCATCTGCTTCTGCCCAATGAGCAGAACTTCAAGCTCTCATTTGCGCTTTATGTCTTTTTGCAAATGAGCCCATCAATATTTATTCTGACAGTTTATATGCATTTTGAGTTTCAAAAAATATTAAAACTTCAATTATTGGGTATACACCATCACAAGAGTTATTTAATTTGTTTTATACCCTCCAAAGGACAGTACAAATGCGAAAATACCCATGTTTTATAGGCCCCATATGGCCTCTCACTAATCTTCCAGGGCCTTTAATGCTGAGAGCCATTGCCAAGTAGAAATGACACATCGAAATTTCCTTGCCAGTGTACCCCATGTTGCTTAGAGGAAGGACTTTTGGAATTGGACATTTGAAATGACATTGCATGTATGTTTGAGAAAGGTGACCAGGGTAAATCCGGGTTTAAGGAGGATCCTACTGAATTAGGGCGGATAAGGTTTTAGGAAGTATCCCACTCTTTGGGTTTAGGGCGTTCCAGGTTTAGAACAATCTGGGTTTAGGGCGGTTCCAGATTTTAGGTTATTCCTGCTGGGAATAGGGCATATCCTGCTGCCTGAGTTCCTATCGAGTTCTCCTGGAATTCAGAAAGTTTTGGGAATTCAAAGCCTGGTGGAGTACATGAATTTTGCGGGCAGAACTTGGATTTTCCCGAACGTGTTTGTAGAGGGCCGGTGTGAGTTCGGGAATAAAGAATTGCTGTTTGAATCTACAAGGTGTGTGGTGGCTTGTGATTCTGTGCCCAGACAGACTGCAGCACTTTAATATCATGTAATGATAAGACTGATAAAGTGGTTGCTGTTTGTCAGCAAATATCTTTGTATGACTGTGCACGAGCTTTGCATTTTTTGCATCATCAAAATGCTTCTAGCTTACATAAAAATTTAATATTACTAGAGAGCAACTTTTTCAAATTGTACATCACTGCCCCCAATGTGTTGCACACACTCCATTTTTGCCATCTAGGGTAAATCCCCATGGATTAAAACCAAATCAGTTATGGCAAATGGATGTAACTCACATTCCTCAATTTAGTAGGCAATTTTATGTACATGTAATTGTAGATAGTTATTCTAGATTTATCTTTGCCATGGCCCATGCAAATGAAAATACTCACCATGTTATTTCTCATTGCTAGCTGCTTTTGCAGCATTAGGATATATTTTAAAAATTAAAACATAATGCACCAGCTTCTGTTAGCTCCTCTTTTCAACAATTTTTCCAAGGGTTTCATATTGACCATAAAACACATATTCCTTTCAACCCTCAAGGTCAAGATATTCTAGATTGAGCTCATTTATTTATTAAGCTACAATTACAAAAACAAAAAGGGGGAGATAGGACTAAGACCCCCCCAAAATAACCTCAATCAGGCTCTGTTCAATTTTAATTTTTAAAACTGTGACTCAGGGTGTCACATTGCAGTGAGCGACACATGTCTTCCACAGCAACAAGCTCTTTAGGCCAAGTTTGGTGGAAAGATTTACAAACTGATCAATGAGTACCAGATCCAGTCACAATGTGGGACAGAGGCCATGCTTGTATTTTCCCAGAAGTTGCTTTTCTTCCTATTTGAGTACTTGAATGTGTCAATCAGGCATGGAGGACCTAGAACCAAGGTTCAGATGACTGAGGATTGACCCAGAAATGCCAGACCTGATTCCCCACCAAGAGAAGCTATTAAAGGTAGAGGGGAAAGAAGATGGCCCAGAGAGACCCAATGGTGAAGCTACCTTCATGGAAAGAGCTGAAGAATCTGATGCTGCAGGCTGAGCAAATGATTCAGCAGCTAGGAAAAAACAAGTCTCCAACAATGATGCTTGACACAATACTAGCTCTATTGAGGTGGGTTTCCAAGACCTGTTGAGTTTTTAACATTTATATAAATTGTTGGGAGTCACACTGGCTCCAAAGACTAACATCCCCATCCCGGAGAAGAGCCGTCCAATGGTAATCCCTGCTGGCTCACATTATCCTTACCCACAAATCAGACTAGCCCTGCTGGCTCACATGATCTTTACCCAACAAAGAGGAAGCACCCCATGACAACTGTCAAATCGTCCAACCACTAAACTGTCATAACTGTCAAACCACCCCTGGCTCTGTAAATATACATAGCTGTTACTCAATAAACGTGCATTTTCTCAGATGATGAGCCTTGTTTGTTCTTTCATAAATGGCATCAGGTTGCATGCATCTACTGTCAATTGTTTTTCTTTTGTGAACATTACAGTTTTGAGATTAATACATTTTAAGATTTTCAAATCCAGGTCATTCATTTTTAATGGCTGGGATATGTAGTACCTCCCATGATAGGAATAAACTGAAAAAAAAACTAAAAATTTTTTGCTTTAAAGGACATTATCCAGAAAATTAAAAGTTATCTATAGAACAGGACAAACAGACTACAAAGCATAATCTGATAAAAAACTGTGTAAAGAATATATGAAGAATTATTTTTCAATTAATTTATTTAAAAATTCTTTTTTTCTTTTATTTTAATTTATTCCAATTAGTTACACATGACACTAGCATGCATTTTGACACATTGTACACAAAAGAAGCACAAGATTTCCTTCCTCTGGTTGTACATGGTACAGACTCACACCAGTAAAATTTTTAGGCATCAAAACAAAAAGACAATTTCTTCAGATATATGTGGGCAAAAGACATGGATAGATATTTCTTCAAAATAGTGAATCTGACATCTTTCCTATGGATATAGTTGAATACCTCATAGTGAATCTCCACATCATGTACATCTACAAGCCTGGGATTCGAATTAGAATAAGGTATACTTTATGTTTTTATAAATGTATAACTAAAAAGGATAAATAGAAAAAGTGATTAACATTGCTCAGTATCAGTAACCAACAAGAAAATGCAAATCAAAACCACATAAGATGCCATCTCACATCCACTAAAATGTCTAAAATAAGAGATAAAAACATGAAGTATTAGGAAATAAGTGAATTAATTGGAACTTTCATACATTTTTGGAAAGAATATTAAATGATACAGCTATTATGGAATACACTGACAGAAGTACTTTGTAAGGCAGCAATCTCACTCCTGAGTATACACTCAGATGAAATTGAAAACTAGAGTTCACAAACAAGTTTCACACTAATGTTCATAATGCCACCACTCACAATAGCCAAAAGGTGTGAATAACACAAATGTCCATCAACTGATGAAAGGATAACTAAATTGTGGTATATCTATACAATAGAATGTTGTTTGCCATAAACAGGAAGTACTGATATATATTTCACGTGGAAACAAAATGCTAAATGATATCACTTTGCATCACAAAAGACCACATATTAAATGTCTCCATTTTTATAATGTATACATCATGTGCAAATCAACAGAGACAGAAAATAGAGTAGTGTTTGTTTCAGGAAAATAATTTTAGAAGCTGAACGTTAAAAGATAATAGTTTTCTGAGTTTTGACAATGATGATGGCTGCATATATTATTCAAAATGCTGAAAAATATGGAATTTTACATTATAAGGAATCATATAGTATGTAAAAATTTTTAATGAAGTTGTTATGTTAACAGAAAAAATAAACGGTAATCCACATACTAATTATAAGGAAAAAATAGATGGAGAACATCTGAACCAACGATGCTCTTGGGCTTTTTTCACAAATAGACCTTGTGGATTGTTAAGGGAATTGACATTAACTCCAAAGAATGTGCTAATGATTACATCCATGCAGTAGCTCCCAAAAATTTTAAGTAGAGAAAAAAATGTAAAATCAAATCTGTACCACTTTACTTTCCTAATACACATGCTGGAAGAAGTGCCACCAGGAAGTACACACACAGTTAGAAATATCTGTTGATCAAATGACTAGTCCATGCTCCTGTCAAATGCCATTAGGCTGCTGCCCCTGTGCCAGGGGAGTTAGGAACACTAGGGTAGTGAGCTCAAGGAGTTCAGTCACAGAGAGACAGGCACCCATAATCAGACAAATTACATCAGTGAGTGGAGTGTAGATGATAAAAGTGATTAAATGCAGAGCTTCATCAGAACCAGGGTGTTATAATTGACTCCTGGTAGGGGATCCAAGATAGGTGAACTTGACCTAGGTCCTGCCTAAGCACAGTCTGTACCCAGAGCTGATTCCTATCTAGCATATCACATAACAGCAACACCCTGTTCTAAGAGGCAGAAACATTGTCCTCCCTTCTCTGCATCCACTGCTACAGCTCCTGAGAGGTCCTGTATTCCAGGACCCAAGGTGGCCCCAAGGGCAGAATCCTGCAAAAAGAAAAAAGTAAGAATATCCTCAGTTAAAACATTGAAAATCTCCTCAAAATGTACTTGGATGGTCTCACAACTTGATGAACATATTCTCTTAGATTTCCCAAGACAGTATCAGAGGTTTTGCATGGGTCAAAATAATTCATTCTATGCAAAAACTTTATGTGGTAATTTTAATCCCTATCCTTTCAGGACCTCATCTCTGTTGAGACTGGAGGAAGATGTGGCGGGAATATTTCATATTTTTCATTTTGCTGATATTCTCAGTGCAACCATGAAGATATTTGCTGTTCCATAGCCTGTATTGTATCTTTCTATCCCTGCTTAATAGGTACCAGAAACTTCCCCCAACCAACATTCCCTATGTTTTACCCTCAACTTCTGAGTGATCACGTTCTTCATTGTAAAACATGTGTTTTGACTTACATAATATCCACATTGATGATCAAGCAGATAAACTAATTATGTTTTCTGCACACAGATGTCCCAGCTAACCTGCCTTCTCCTGGGAACCTCTCCTTCTTGGGTGGTCCATTGTGGTTATGACACCACACACTTTTGTCTGGTCAGGGGAGTAGCTCAACAGTGGTAATTTCAGTTCCTTTGCAGACTGCTGGAAGGTCTTAAAACAGCTCAGAACCCCAGAGCTGCCTGCTACTTACTCCTTCACAGTGACAGAATCGCATTTCTTCACTTCCTGCTCAGGTACTTCACCAATGCGTCTCCATATTGGTTTATGATGGGGAACATCTAAGCACAAACACAACTCTACCCACAGTTAGAGGAGAATCGAGTCCCTGAGACAGTGGTTTTCACAGGATTATAAAGTATGAGATATTTATAATGAATCAAAAGTATCTCTTCTAGGACATAAAAACAAAAGGTTATTTGAAATTTTTCATTAGTTCTTTTTATTTATACATAACAATAAGTTTCATTTTGACATAATTTAAAAAGCATGGGAAACAATTTTGCACTTCTCTAATTGATATATATTCATTGATCATTTGTATTTATTCTTATGAGAAAGGTCTGCTCAGTTCTTTAGCCCATTTATTGATTGGGTTATTAGGTTTTTTGGTGTTAAGCTTATTGTGTTGGTTGCATATGGTGAAAATTAATAAAATAAATGAAGTCAGGGGGAAAAGATTTTTATCCCCTTCTGAAGGTTCTCTTTTTAGGCTTTCAATTGTTCTTTCTGCTGTGAAAGAATATTAAATTAGAGAAAAAATTGACTACAAGTAAATTATTAAGTTCTTACAAGCGCTTAAGATGCAAGAAACAGCTGGGTTTGTATCAGTGGGGACTCAGCCGTGTGTGCTCTTTCCACTCAACCATATGGCCCTTATGGGCCACCAGTTAGGCAGGATGCTATGGCCAGCTCTGCAGTTTTGAGAAGTTGATGAGAGAAGATGAAAAAGAAAGAAGAGGCAAAGCCATCTCCCACTTGCTTATAGAACACAAGAACAACAATAATACCTCTGGAGCTTCTTTCACCAAGCATTATTAAAAAAAGGCTGCTGAAATTAGCTGATTTGCACTAGCAGTTTATGACATACACAAGGTCATGGGAACACATAGGTTTAAAATATACTGGACATACATTCTTCAAAGTCAGTATAATGAGGTAGGCAGAGAAATTCCTGTGTACACTTCTAGTGAAAACTCCTAATTGACAGAGAAAAACAAATGAAATCCCCAAGACTTTACACTTGCAGACAAAGTTAAAATAAAAGAAAGCAGAGGTTAAATCATTTACCAATCTGTTCATCTCCATCTCTTCTTTTCTTTCAAATGTACAAAATAACCCAAAAATTAATAAAAAGGTCGCTTTTACTAAAGTGACAATCTTGAAAGGAGATAAAGCCATGTATGGTGCACATTTTAGAAAGGTCTGAATTAATGCCTCCTATGCAGTATTAAAGGCTCCTAATAAAGAAAAAAATTTAACAGGGGGTAGAGGCAGGGCACTGGAGAGAAGGTAATGCCAGGAGTTTTTGGGTCATCAGAGACTGAGAAAAGTCTGAAGTGTGACATTCTTGGCCATGAACCTTGACACCTGGTGAAATATAGGACCCTTGGCAGGAGAAGGAGCCTCTAAAGCTTTATGATAACTAATTCCCAGTAACAGCTCTGGGCTGGCATTGTCCTCTTGCCCTGGAGTGCCTCAGCCAACAAGTCTACCCAAGGGAAGTTTCCAAAATACTCACTCCCACTTTTTCCCATACTTTTCATGACATTGGGGGTCATATTGCCAAAAACCCTGGGAGGAGAAACAAGATAATTTATATTGTTATAATGAAAATATTTAACCATGCTTCTAATTGAGGAACCAAGGATTCCAATTCCTTGAAATCAGACTGGAATATGGTCCATCACTGGCAGTTAGAGGGAAAATCTCATTCTAAGACATCCAAAGTCAAAGAAGAGAAAATAAATGGGATATTTGAAATAAAAATTTAGAGTCCATCTTGAATTTTCTTGAAGTATTGTACATATTGAAGAAATTATCCTTCTTTTTTTGAGACAAGGTATTGCCATGTTTCCTATATTGCTCAAGCTGACCTTGAATTTGTGATTCTCCTGCATCAGCCTCCAGAATGGTTGGGACTACAGGTGTGTGCCACAGTTTCACTAGTTATCCTTGAGTATGAATATGAAGCAAGCCTGACATTCTGTATCATTTCTCATGTGCATGGACTGTTTCTGAAATCTTGCCAACTTCGAATCATTCCCTCCACCTGGATGTGAAAAACCAAAGCTGAGAGAAAGTGAGTGGGTTTCCCAGGGACATTCATAAGGACACTTCACTCATTTTTCCCCAGATCTTTTTCATTTCTTTCATGAATCCTTCTAGAATACTGGGGAAATTAGAAAATTCAATGCACCAGTCACCTCCAAGTTGACCATGTTGATGTGATTAGTTTAGCTGAATTTTTACTACTATGACCCTGAAAAGAACCATGTAGAAAACTAAGATTTACTTGGCTCACAGTTTCAGAGGTCTCAGTTCATATACGGCTTCTTCTGTTGCCGTGGTCTGAGGTGAGGCAGAATAACATGGCAGAAGAGTGTGACAGAATAAAGCAGCTCAGGACATGGCACCAGGAAGCAGACAGAAACTCCACTAATCAGGGACAAAATGTATGCCCTGAAGCCAGGCCCCAGTGACCCACCTCTTCCACCAACACCCTACCTGCTTACATTTGTCCCCAGTTAATTCTAAATGAGGAAATAGTGTACCGAGTAGATTAAGGCTTTCACTATCCAATCACTTTATTTCTAAACTTTCTTGCATTGCCTCACATATGAGCTTATGGGGGATACAACAACCATGACAGTGGTTCTCATGCATGTTGTGGAGTGAGAAAGAATGAGTGAGGATTGACAAAATGGAGTCACCTTCCAGTTTTCCAATTCAATGAGGAAAAGATGGGGAGATGCCACTTTTACACATGAGAGTCAATAAATTAAGTACTTGCTCTAAGTTTTTGCTTCCAAAACATAAAAAGAAATTTTTCTGTTGCTATGTTTCAGGGATGATGTTTTCATGAAGCAAGGGGAGACCCCAATTATGTAGACCTTACAGCCAATCTAATAAGCAGTTTATCTGGGAAGTGTGAAGATTCAATAATTGTTTTTTCCAAAGGGAACAGCAGTTAGGAATTCTCAGGTGGTAATTAGGCCTCCAAATTGTAGAAATAGAATCTAATCAAGAAACCTCAGTCTTTGGAATAGATAATCTAAGCAGAGAGCAGTGTATCCTCCGACCATCTGGATTAGAGCTCATGAATTTTTATCCAGTATTCAGGCCCTGAGTCAAATACCTAACCGGGTTAATTACAAATGCAAGCCATAAATTCACATTTCTTTTGGAACACGCCATTCAATTGACTTAAATTTTAATAATTTTTTTAAATCATCCAATTTCTGTTCACTTTATATCACTAAATATGACCTTGTTGAAAAAAAATACTCATCTTGTGGTTAATTATGTGAAGTCCATAGATAAGAGCTGTCTTATCTCTTTTGTATTTTCCCTTCTAAGACTAACAGATAGGGTGTTATCTTTGAAGGATAATAAAAAAATGCAGAATGCTTTTGTTTCATCTCTCAAATCCTCTACATGTACCTTCAGTAGTAAAATTTGAGTAGTGCCATGGAAATAACCACAAATTTAGACATTAAGAAATATTTACGTGCAAATATCAAACTACAAATACTTGCATTGGTCAAGAAACTGTAGTTTCAAATATATACATGAATAGACTTTTTTTTTTTAAAAAAAAGCTACTCATGAGATCCTGTTATGAATGGAATGTTTGAATGTGCTCGACAAGTCTTCTCTTTCACAGATTTTTGCTCAAACACTAGGTACAATATAAACTTCCTGGAAATGTGCAAAGGCAAATTAAAAATCCCCTTTATGATATGAACAAGTCTGAACAACATCATGAGCCTCAAATGCAGGTGTACTAGGGATCTGAGTATTTCCACTGAGTCTCTTGGAGCATTGACAGCAGAGCCCCAAGGAAAACCTGGCCATGCTCAGGTTGGGGCTTGCACACTGTTTCAAAAAGGATGAGAGCTGGGATCTTCCTCCCAAAAAAGTGCATTTTTACCAATGACATTAAACTGGCATTTTCTTCTTGCCAAAGAAAAAGAGGGAACTCAACCATACTCACTTTGCAGTAGTGCAGAAGCATTTCAAAGAAAGGCAGAGGTGTTGTCCCAGAAATTCCCAGCTTCTCACATAGCACATGTGAATAGGTTTCATATCTATAAAGTGAGAGAGAAAGCCAGGTCACTATGATTGTCATTCTATAAATAAGGGCCTGACAAGTCTCTGACTCAGAAACTGGACAAGGCAATGAGGAAGGTAACATGTAGGTGATACATAACAAAAACTCAAACACACCATATTTGCTCCTTCCCAACTCCATTTAGAAAGCACAATGATGAGCTAAGAGAAGTTGAGACTTCATGCCCCAATTCTT